TTATTCTGATTTTAATTTCCTGCAAAATGAAACTACGAATAACCATACGGTTTACAAAATTCATCCTTCCCTTATCAGAACCAAATAACAGTAGAACTCCACGAAACCACATAATTAAGAAATGAAACTCACCAAGAAACCATTAGAGAACTCGCTAGAACGAATTTGCTAAACACCGAGTGATAATGAACCGAAATTCCAAAACCACCAAGCCCAATGTGAATTTTCAATAAAAAGATTTCAAAAAGAACTTGAGAAAAGCTAAAGAAATGATTTTTATAGCAAAAAAATTAATCTTGAAGAGGAATCTAAAGAGCCCAGATCAAGAAACTTGAAAACTCAATAGAGGGATTCGACAAGATTGAGGATTCGCAATATTGTGACCCAAACAGGTTCCCCTATAAATGGGCAAAAAAGCCCAAATGAAGCAGAAGAAGAACACTATACAGAGAGAGAGAGTAGAGATATCTGTTGATTGGTTTCGCAAAATCTGTATATCCTATATTTGGCTAACGAGTGCTCGTGAAAGAGGCCAGCCAAGGCTCAGAGGTAATTTTCAGCAAACCCATAATTTAAAGCAAAAGTTCAATTGTATAGACTACAATTGAAATTTTTTCCATTGCGTATGCGTATAAGATTGCAAATTCTATGAAAAGTAATTAGTTTTTGTTCAATTAGGTTAAAGACATTTGGTTCTACTAGTATGCAGCATGTACAATTCACTTGATATAGTAATGATGCTATGATATTTTTTATTCGAACATATATGCTTTATTTTTTGGTAAGTCAGTGTTTCAAAGTCTTAGTGTTATATTTTTACCTGCATATTAAGGTCAATTTCACCATTTTTTGTTGCTAACTAAATGATGACTTCCCATTCCAAGGTCTAATCACTCGATTCATGCCTTTAAATTCTTATTTATGAATGAACTGGGAAAGCCAATAAAATGATTCGATATTCAATTCTTACTTTCGTAGAGCCGATGTTGCTATTAACTACGCATAGGACCGCCCTCTACTCCTATCCTTGAGCACTAAGGGGCTTTTGTTTTTTTGTAACATACGACAGTCTTTTACTGACGTCTCTCCTGACTTTCCCATTTATCATTCACAAAGTTGGTGGAGGCCACCTTCCTTCATTCAATGTTGCATATCTATTGTTAAATCTATGTCAGAGATCGGAGTGCCACACTTCACTAATAGGGGTCCAGAGGGAAAAACAAGGTCACTCTTTGGCCGATTTAAGTAAAGAAAGGTTACCTAGAAACTAAACAATAAACATGAAAACTTTCATCTTAACATTACAGATAAATAGTTTTTCTACTTTTTATTTCATTCTCGATTTGAGACTCTAGCTCTCAAGAACATATCAAAGCACTCATTGGAGTCCATGTAAAATAGACGACTTCTGTCATATTAGACGTTGGTTGTGTTTTTTGATTGTGCCCAGCTTACTCAGGCTACTAGAATAGTCCCTACATTTCAAGCAAAAGAAATAGATGAAAAAAAAAAGATGTAGATTTGCCTCAAAGGTTGATACTCTTTACTTCAAAATAAAGGGAAAGGCAATGAATGATGAATAGGAAAGCAAATAAGATTTAGGTCAAATTCTTGGGGATGTATTGAGTGGCCTAAAAGAATTACTTCTCCAGTGTTCTCAGTTATGATGCATAGACATAAAACTAACGAGCATGGTGCAAGAAGGTCAACGGCCTTATATAACAATTCAACACAATAAAATGGCAACCAACATAAGTGACATGAACTTTCATTGGAATTGATCTCATGATTCCAGTGGACAGGAGTTATCTTGCCCACCCGTTAATGTGACATTATCACGTAAGCGAGTCAAGTCTTTTTTTTTATTAGTCAAAAGGAACATACAATTTGATTGCGCTACATCAACGGTGGGCATTTGTTATCCTGCTCACTGTGAACCGAAGATCAACTCTAGAGCTTCCATACTATGATAAATAGCAACGAATAGAAGCCATGATGTATAGATGGGAGTTGTCAAAAACCTTTTCATTTGTTAGTAGAGACAAGCATTCTTTAGTCACTTAAAAGAGCTTTGATCATTCAGAAGCAACCACCTTAGTTACATCACATTTCCCATTAATAGCGCCTCACAGTAGTGTTACTACGCAAAAACTTATTAACTGCTAGTTTTAATTAAGATGAAATAAACAATTAATTCTCGTGGGATGATAATCTACTCATCCTATGCGATATCTTCCACTTACGAAATAATTTCGCAATAACCAACATCGTTGTTCCAAAACAAAACCTTTAAGTTTTATGTGTGTGCTCATGGTTTAAGCCCATGTTTGATCTGCATTATTATCTCATTAAAATGAAAAATATGACCGTTATCAATCATATCAACATTTAAATTCAAATTTTCTATCACTTACGTGGGTCCCAATAATGACTATATTTTTCATTCTCATTCTACAATAATTTGGCTCAAACAGAACCTATGTCCATAATGTACACGAGAATATGTATTAAACTTTTAAAATAAATAGATGAAATGTGTGAAGAAGAGATAGCTTAAATTTAATTAATTTAGGGCTCTAAAATCTATGGTCATATTATAGGATAGGACCATTTTGATAAGAATTGGCGTAGTTTATTATGTACCTCGCCCGTCCACTACTTAATAGCTAAACAGCTGTCAGGAGAGAAAAAAAAAATTGTATTAAATTAACTAATTCGAATGATTAGAGCCTTACTTTCCGCTTATGCTGCCTGCCTGCCGGACCCAAAGTTAACAATTCTATCTTAATCCGATACATACAAAAGATTGAGGCGGTCTGGCTTTTAATATTCAATCATGCTACAAGTACAATTTTTTGGCGTTAATGTGTCATTAAATGATATGTGAAACTAAATGACTTATTTAATTTCACATTTCATTTAACCCATCATTTAAAGTCACGTAAACTGTGTTTTCATCCCCAGTGAGGATAAATAATATTACTCATTTTTATGACATCAAGTTTGACAATGCGCCACGTGTTGAAGGTTGAGTGGCCAATTTTTAAACACCACACACTTTCACGTCCTTTCGAATTTGAATTAAGATAGATTGTCAAATTCCTTGTCAACCATGAATTGTACGTAAAGCATTATTCTTTAACATTACCCACTTGTAGTTGTAGGATAATGACTATTGGATCAGACTATATGTACATAAAAAACTGACACATTGATTTACGTATTGATGAGTTGACAGATTTTGGTGTATTAATTTTAATAAGACTTTTTCAATGCAGGATTAGATTTTTGATATTATCTAAATCCAAAGTGTAGAAAATATGTGTACAAGTAGATTAATTCATAATTATTCATCGTTCTTAATCTTGATTTGCTTTTGATTTTAGGCAATATAATTTCTTAATCAAATATTTTTATACCCCCATTTGGATCCATTTCTCTCTATTTTTTAACCATATATTTTATAAAAAATTATATTATACGTAAATAGAAAAAAAAAAATCAATCACTCAATCTCTAAAAATTATAATCCGGGTCAACCAAGTGGGTCTTAAAAATCTAAAGCAAACAGCTGGACTGCTCAATTTTTTTCAAAATTGCTGTCCCGTTGGCTCCAACAATAAAGATTCATGACAAAATCTGAAACAACTATACTTGCACTCAAACTTTAAACTAATATTAATTTTTGAAATTATTTATTATATCAATACAAATGGTAAACCCCGAGTTCAATTAAAACAAACTTTTTTGTGATTTTTACAGGGTTAATTTCACAAATGGTCACTGAAATTTAAAACTTGCACTAACGATCACTGAAATATCATCTAGTTTCAGTAATGGTCA